CTATTACCTACGATGTCAACAACTCAACTTAGAACCTCTTTGGATCAGACGTATCAAATTAAATATTGTCTTTATCTACCGCTTATTAACGGTATTTCCTACTCTTCGGTATCCACCCCTTCATACCTTATGATATCATCCCACAATCTACGCAATAAGGAGAATATTCTAGCGATTCCAAGAACCCACACAAACTTACGTCAGAATTTTTTCCTTATTCGCTACTCAACCATGTGGAACAGACTGCCAGTGAACCTCCGTTGCAGTGAAACTACAGCCCGGTTCAGAAGTCTTCTTAATGATTTTCTTTCCGAAAGTGGATTATGTCACCTATTGAATATCAATGTATTCAATAATGATTTATACAAACAAGGTCCGTCATCCATTTAATTGCTTGAAAAGCAAAATAAAACCTTTAAATCTTTCCACATCTATTTTATTTTATTTCTATTTATCTTAATATATGAAATCTGATTATGTTCGTGTTTATCATTATTTCCGTTATTAATATCATTATTAGTTCCCTGACACATTAGATATTCTTTTTGTATCTTCTTATCCTTCTAAACATATTTAACTCCAGATTGTCCTTTAAGATCAATTTTGACTTTCATAGCATCAATCTGAATTATTATTGCACAAATATTTATACTAATATCCGGTTTCACTCTGTATACTATTACATAAATCTAAATGTATTCATCCGAGTGCTCTAACGGATTTTTATTTTATTTTTGCAATTGCTGGTTTCCTTCTGAGGTTGATATTTATTACACAATTATTATTCTTATCATGGATCAAAACTTTTCACTAGGTGTTCACTTCTTTTCACTCCATTCTTTCCCTCCAAATAAATATTCTTAAGATTACGAAGTTTGTAATTAAAACAATAACTTGTGTTACACTTAAATTAAATTCTCAGACCCGTTTTATCTTCACTATGCATATATGACTCATACATATTGATATTTTATTATCCTTTGCACTCAATTGAGACTTTCATCGTATCACTCCAAACTATGACTGCACAAACATTTATTCTAGCGTCATATCTTACTATAATAATAAGTTGTTTTTTCTTAATTATTTTTTGTTACTAATTTAACGATACACACATAGTCGTTTATTCTTGTTCTGTGTTCATAAACACGCCAATTAAACTGATTGCGTATTTCATGTCTCCTTTATTTCTATTCGCTTATTTTCATCAATTTCATTCTTTAAACTCAATTCGATATTCTTCTCAATTACACAGACCCGATTTATTACTATTAATATTCTACTATTACTCTAATTTTTTTTAAATATGGCAAGTATAATGCTGACATTATTGAAAATTGTGTATTATTGCATTTTTTTGAAGAAACCCGAAATGGTTTCCTCACAACACTTGTGTACCCATAAGATGTTTGTGAATAATAATAATAATCACTAGTAAACATACTAGGTGTTACGTACCTGTTGAATTCGCGCGGTAGTGCCTTGACTACTGCGAGGAATTGTGCACGTATGTCGATCACGCCGTGCTCGGAGAAGTCGGCTTCTGCGTAGCAAAACCAGGCTTCGATGTTGTCGGGCCAGAAAGGCATCAGTTGAAACGAAGGTGGACACAAGGTCTTAAGCTTGAGTACTTTAGGTGTCTGTTCAGTCATGATGAAATATGAAGTATGATAATGAACGAGGGAAAATATATATATATCCAAGAAAAAACACGAAAAAAATCACAATGTTTAAAAAAAATAAAAAATAAGGCAATGATGTATAAAAATCCCAAAGAGGAACAGACTCACAGTTGCAATAAGGTATACCAGATCACGACGGTCTCACCAATGTTGATGTCACAGGTATTCAGTGTTTCACAACGCTTCAACCAGTAACACCTTCTAATATATTTCGTTCCCACCAAGAGAAATCAAAAGACAGAGTCGAGGAGATCGGAAGAGTATATTTGGCGATGACCAATATATCGGAATTCTCTGATCTAATCTGGCTAGCGATTGCGGTTGATGTTGAGCACGGCGTTACCACACGTGATCTGGTGCGGATGCCTGACCGAGCGCCTTCAGCTAGATGAGTCCACTAAAACATATGGTCAGCATCCAATGTCGAAAACTTAGTGCTATTTATTTTGGGGATTTATTTACCGCTACAATTGCTATCGCCTCAGCAAATTTCAAAAGGTTTGGGTTTGATTGTTTGTTAATCACCTTGAAGGACTTCAGTATATCAACTTCATGTCCTGTATCAAGGAGATGTCTTGCGATGGCACTGTTGAACGCGTTCAATCCATTTAATCTTAAACTTTTCGGAATACGTTCTTTGAATCGAACGTAGGCTCTCCTTTATGTTCTACCAATGTAACTGCTATGGCAGAAATTATTCTGCACCAATCTTTGTTCTTGCTCTCCTTCCACAGTCACTGAAGTCAGTGAATCGCCTGGTGACAATACGCTGCAGAATATCGAGAGAAATAACTCGACTTAAGTTTTTGACGAATGTCTCAAGTCATGCCGTTTCCCACGTCAGTTCTTAAAGTCTTCACGCTCATTTAAACTTCCGCCTTCTCTCAAAAATCTTTGAAGCATCACAAAATCTCACAATGAATCAACAAATTTACTGACTGAACGTTTGAGGGCAGAAACTAATGCCTTAGACGAATTAATCAACAATCTAAGTATTGTATGTCGCATAAAATTTATCAACTTTATACAAGATCTGCAAAGCAAAATATGCAAGAATTTCCACGTAACTTTTTCAAAGACTCTGTCAAAAGAACACTTATGTTTTGGATTTCCGGAAAACCCCAAAAAGTTTCTCTTTAATCTATCAACAATGAAGTTAAGCCAGATAGAAACAGAAGCCTTGTCACTTGGATTTAAATTTCATATCCCTAAAACACGTGCCGACAGAATCGACACAGAAACTCAATTTGAGAATTTATTTGATCAAATTAAAGAGCTGCACCCAGTTGGTGAAGAAAAGAAAGGCTGGTTTAAATCTAAACTAGTCGATATTGCAAACCAATATCTTGTTTCAATCGCACCACAGTTTAAGCTTTTATCTAAAGACCACCAAACAGCACTACGAAATATTAAACGAAATGATGATATAATGATATTACGGTCAGACAAAGGCTCAAGTGTTGTTCTAATGAACAAAACAGATTATGTCTCTAAGATGAAGTCCATCTTGAATGACCACATGAGATGAAAGTCAGAAAAAAGCAAAAAATACTTAACTGATTCCATTGAGAAAAGAATCACCAAAGTACTCAGAGATCTTCTGAAAAAGATGACCGATAACTCCACTTACAATAACGTACGACCTCGTGGGTCTCGTTTGCCCCACATGTATGGATAACCGAAAATACATAAACGAGGTTATCCTCTTAGACCTATTTTGTCAATGATCAATTCACCATACCACAAAGTTGCACGATGGTTGGCAGATGAGTTAGAACCAGTGCGTAGACGATTAGCCACCTATACACTAAAGGATTCATTTGTATTTGCTGACAGCATGAATCACATAAATATTGCTGGTAAGTTTATGGTTTCTTTTGATGTAACACCACTGTTTACAAAAATACCACTTCTTAAAACCATAGACATAATTTGTCAACATTCTGGCAATCTACCTCTACCAGTACCAGAATTCAAATGACCATTACTCATTTGTACAAAAGATGTTCAGTTCTAAGTCAACGATATCATATACAAACAAACCGACGGTGTAGCGATGGGAAGTCCGTTAGGTCCTGTCCTAGCAGATATTTTCATGGCTAACCTCAAAAGAACCAAACTCAAACGAGCGATTTATGAAATGGCGTATTATTCGAGATATGTTGATGATACCTTCATCGTATGTAATAATCAACAACATGCAATAAATCTGCCACAGCTTTTCAACGAAGCCCATCCAAATGTCCATTTCATTATGGAACATGAGAAAGAAAACCCGAAAATTTACAATTTTTAGGTCCTTTCCGCCAGCATTAAACCTAAGTTTTGGTTCTTTTTCAGTTTAAAGGCGTTATTCTCCTTTCAGTCCATAATGTATCATTCTAAACTCTTGAAGCCACCAACCGTGAGAATTGTCACATCGACTTGGAGAGCATTCCAGTCAGGATTGGCCCATAATGGGAAAAGCGATTGTGTCGCCCAAACATCCACTGTGCTAATTACCGACGGTTAACTCAAAAAGTACGGTGATAGGGTTCGGGGTAGACTGGAGTGTTCATTGTGTTGTATGACGTTACTGGGTCATCTCTTATTCGTCTACAACTTAGCAAGGGTGCCCTGTGATGAAAAAGTTGATTTTTAGAAGTTCGGCTTGTCAGTCCTAAGATCCACTTTGTTCCCTACATTCTTTTCGGAGAGGAGATGGAGCGGTGTTATGGAATTCGAGTCATGGGTGGTGCAAGTCTTGACAAGTGTTGAAAGGAACTCAGGAGCCAGCATGTCTAGCTGTCTGAGAACAAGGTGAGGAATAGCTTTGGCCTCAGTTATATCTCACGGATTATTGCTGATGTCATCGAATTTCATTAGTACGACACATAAGTGGCACTCCAAATCGATTCTAGTGGGGTTTAAGCAATAGAGGAAACAGTTGTCCCGATTTTCTTTGGTAGTTCAAAATAACATCGTTTTGAACTTTCTGAAGTTAAACCTCAAAACGTTGTTTCGCGTTCACTCTTCAAACGACACAAAATCTCTTCTAAGTTCTAATGAATCACCATCATTTTCGACAGCAAACCATAACTTGATTTCATCCACATGGATGGCAACTGATGAGATGAGGCTTTTTGGGAAGTCATGATAAATATGAGGGACAAAAGGGGTCCCATATGGCTTCTTGTGATACTCCAGTTATGGACTATTGGCTTGAATATGATTTGTTAAGTCTGGTTTAAGGTGAGTCGAAGTAATCTGAAGAAAGTCAGGATCGCATCAGAGATGTTGAGCGAAACCCCAAAATTTTGACTTGTATTTACTAGATTAAAAAAATGTTAAGGCCCATTTGAAAATCGCGCTTCAGCCAGTATCCTACGTGGAGTGCTTCATTTTAAAGTATATAACTAATTCATTTAAGCCGAGGGAATTAATCACTCAATTTTTGATAAGTTATTATTTAAGATTGTCTGTTTGAATTTTTCTTTCACTGTGTTGAATGTTATAGCTTTGAGTCAGTGTGCCGTGGCTATCTCTTTGATTTCCAATCTCGGGTCGTTTCTTTCTCAACGCAATGAAAGTCACTTTCAAAACATTAATGCAACAGACATTTGTTCTTGACTTTCAAGAAGATGATCTGGTAATTCACAGGTTGGTGTGATATTGTACGTAGGTTGGCGACGTTAAAAAGAAGATCGAAGCTAAATGGGGCAGTGAATTCGATGCAAAGACTCAGAAACTAATACACTCAGGTAAATTATCGGTTATAGCTTGTTACATTACTTAGGCAAGGTGATGGAAGATAGTAAATCGCTAAAAGACTACAAAGTGACAGAATCTGGTTTCGTTGTAGTAATGTCTGTTTCAAAGCCATCCAAAGATACAACGAAAGAAGCTAGTGCTTCAGTCCAAATTAATCCTACTGGTGAAACAAAGCAAACAACAGACAAAAAGAGCCCCGTAACAGAAGCAAATGAAGCTCCGAGCAGTAAAGCAGACTCAAATCCCCAATCTAACTTACCTACAGTTACAACAGCCCCATCTAGCACAACAAATACTTTGGGTTTTGGAGAGAGTTCCTTAGTTACCGGAGAGAACTTTGAGCGGGTTGTAAAAGAACTAGTGTCCATGGGTTTCGAGAGATCACTGGTCAGTCTCTTGTAAAATAATAATGACAAATTTAGGTTATCCAAGCAATGCGAGCAGGCTTCAACAACCCAGATAGAGCATTTGAATACCTTTCGTCGGGAAATATTCCAAATGTTGACATTGTTGATCAGCCACCGCAAAGGGAAGAAATCGAAAGTGTATCTCCAGAAGGGCCTGGGGATACTGATACCCCAGGCTCTGAGTCTCTTGGCTCAGAAGACCCGATCACTGCACTCGCAAGTTTACCCCAGTTTCAACAAATGAGAGCGCTAGTACAAGCAAATCCAGAGCTACTGCCTCAGCTAATCCAGCAAATAGGGAATGATAATGCAGATTTATTTAGAGTACGTTTTTCTTTAGCACTTTCTCACGAATCTTTATAATCAGTTTTCATAATAATTATGCAAGCATTTACTAGTTGCAGACTAATCTCGCAACTAGGATTTTCCGGCAACTTTTCAGGGTTTGGCGTTATATCTAGATCTTAGATTCATTAATTGTTTTTCCAAGTCTCATGGGTATGTGCCACTATCACCGTTAATCAGGTTCACTTTTGAGGTTACTCATGAGTTATGCAGTGTTACATATGCTTTAAACGTTTTACTTCTTGGTCGTGTTCGCAGCTAAGTTTTGTATGGCTAAATGTACTAAATCTTCATATCAGTGTTGGTGAAATCGAGATACAAAATGCTTTGACCTGGCTTTGTTAGCACCTCATTCTGGCTAACCCATTTATTCTCCTGAAGTGTTTTTTCGTTCCAATCGTTTTTTATAGCCCTTCAGCTTGTGCAATATGCATGTTCCATTAAAGGGGATACTCTCAATAATGTCAAATATCCACTGTTGATAAAATAATTAACTATTCGAATGATTCAATATTTTTAGTAGTAATGAGCATACAGTTTATACTTATATGATTGTAATCTTAAAATATGTAACTTATTTAGCTCATTCAAGAAAACGAACAAGCATTTCTGGAATTTATTAATACCCCAGTCACTGGTACTACTCGACCTGGTGGTGAGCGTCAAACTGTTCTTACTATGACTGCTGAGGAACGCGCTGCTGTGGACCGTCTAAAGGCATTAGGGTTCCCGGAGGAGTTGGTTATCCAAGTAAGTTTTCAAGAAATGTATCCATTGTCAGTAGTTTCTCTCGAAACATTATAATAGGCTGTTTCTATTCCAAGTATTTAATTACATATTTCGCTCAATTTTTTATAAATTATCAGGTAAGAGTTTGTCTACTTAATTTCGAGTCTTTAAGGATTGACGAATCTAATCGACTGCTTCACCAAATAAGCCATCGTTCGTGACATGGCAGAAATGTGATGAAACTTCACTGGAAGCAATGCTATTGGTAGGATGGTTTCAGATCGTTTTTTAGGCTAGCTTATATTGGGCCACAACTAAGTCTTTACCGTCCAAAGTATTCTCATTGTCCTAATCTTGTCTATACTAATAAGAAGTGAAATCCTGGAAAGGGAACTGAATTTCAATGCGGTAAATCAAGGAATAATTATATGAACAAAAACTCATTTACTGGTTTATCTAGAATTTAAAGCCGGTAATCAGGAGACTGCGACTACACATTTTGTTTCAGTTAGACCATCTTTTAACTGTAATTCAATTAGTAGAAATAATATATGGTAATCTTAGCATCAAAATGCTGAATGCTCACTTGAAAACCGGATATCCTATTCTATTTTTTAATTTGTACCTCAATTGACACTTCCTTATATAGATAACTAGTGTAATATGTTTTTCCATTGTTGATTGAGCTCAGCATAAGTTTTTACCTCGTACCCTTCGCAAATGTCTCAGGCTTAGATTCGAAGAAACAGTGCTCTTTCAAGATTCTTTTGTAACAATTCTTCAACATTAAAGGGGATGTTCATAAGTTACGAGAATCTTTCGAAAAGTATGGAAAGACTATATTATGGCAAAACCATAGCTACATTAATTCCTTGATAAGCAAGCCATTCCCAGAGACAGTTTCAAAAGTTCCCATCTGTAAGCTTTATAGAATATGAGAGAACTTAAATTCTGAAAGCACTCAGAAAAGCCTCCTCTTAAAGGTTACCTGTGCTTCGACTAAAGAAAGAAACCTGATACTGAATCCCGAATATATGTTCGTACGGATCTCAGCCTGTTTGATCGTATTAAGAGAAGGTTGGTAGAAGTAGAAATAAATGAGCACCTTTAAAACGGTGTAGAAACCTCGTACTTAATGGTCTTCAAGTAGTAAACGTTCGGAGCGAAGCGGTCCTCAAACCGCTCTGGGTAGTAAAGGAAAAATTTCCACACAATCAAAACGTGTGCTACACAACGCTAACAGCTTATAAAAGAAAATGACTTGCCTCAAAACAATGGTGGATATAGAATACCCGGATATGATTGCTGTCTCAGAAACATGCTTAACGTCAGAAGTGTTTGATAGTGAACCTTAATTGGCTGGCTTTTTATCCAGTAGGGCTGATAAACTAAACTGTAGGAGAGGCGAGGCTATCATGTATACAAAAATTACCTTACCCATACGAGCTGTTGAAACAGTAACACATGAATCAGGGACATGTGAACTGGTGCATTGCAGGCTGAAATGTAGACGGCAAGATATTGAGTTGGTTGTAGTGTTCCTTAGTCCAGAATGTGTAGTAGATGACTTCCTCATAAGAAAACTTAAGTCCTGGTGTAACATGAGTAAAAGCCCTATGGTAGGCGATTTAAATGCACTGAATATAAACCGGGTATGCTTAGAAGTCGGCCATCGACAGCGACATTTGATTGCAAACTGTTAGAAAGCACAGTTGCATTAGATTTCTTACAACACATTAAAGATCCCACCAGATATAAATTACGAATCTCTTTATCTCTATTGGACCTCGTCTTAACACACGGTGATGATGCCGGTCAAATGAATTTCCTCCCACCTCTAGGGAAGGGTGATCATGAAGTCATCTTATTCGGACTCATGGCTGAGATGGCCTGTCAAACAGATGCACCTGTTCATCCTAACATATGGAAGGCAGACATGGAGGTGATCAACTCTGTAGCATCGGCAGCATCGTGCCTAATATTTATCACCATCATCACAATTGTAACTACTCTACATCTTGCTTATATGTTATGGTCATCACACATTTGTGCCAGGATCCACTTAGATTATTATTATCTCACTGATGTATGGTGGACGTCTAATTATACTAAGTTTTGTGTGCTTATGCTATAACGTTTGGATTATCGGTTTTCTTTAATCCCAAATGTGCTAATTTCATAGGTGCCTACACACATAAAATTATTTTATCAGTAAAGCGTCTGTACATGTACAATTCCACCTACTTGTATGAAGTTATTGAGAAATTTTTCGCTAATTCTTCTTGTATTTGCTGATGCACATTTAGTCGTTGTTGCGCGTGCGTCGTTTCACTGCGTTCTACCATCTACAATGCGACACATTTTGTTTTAGGTCTCGACTGATCTGCATGAAGCTTATAACAACGGTTCTTCATATTCCTGTTATGTTTTATTGCAAGCTTTACATCTGTTTCGCAAGTGTTGTATCAGTGACGTTTGCTACTTACATTGTTTCAAAAACTATTTACATTCACATTGCATTTTCCATAACACGCTATCATAACTTCCATATATTACGCCGAGTAAAACCGTCTGGAAAACATAAAACAGATTTAACAAGCAGCAGACACTACGTACCGAATATTATTACTTGTTAAAGAATTCAAAAGTTATCAACCGTCTCGTATATAGCCATCATTAAATATACAATTTCAGACAATAGAGCTGGCGAAACTTCTACCACGGTTTGTCTCATCACACGCAACACTGGAAGACCGTAAAATGCTACGTGGCCCCTTTCCAATAATGTTTGTTCGTATCCAACTTCCTATCGCTCTAAAATATCAACCTTTTAAGTCAGTTCTTTCGAATGGCTTTGTGATATGTGACTTCCTGTAGTATGAACCTCAGTTTAGACATTTGATGTGCTGCGTAGGTAACAGTACGCATGATAAATAGGCAAATCATGTTAACTGAAGAAGTAGAACCTTGTCCTACTACTTCTTAAATGTTTCGTACAGTAAATTGTAAATTATAGAATCCAAACCTATCGAGATATGTAACACTCTACAGCTGCAACGACTTTTGTGTGTGCATAGCTGTTGTTTATTTCTGCCTCGTAGATACCTTCCATTTTACGTGCATATATCTGAGTATTGTAAATATCCCACCCTCAATTTACATGAGTGACATGTTAGACTAACCCAAAAGGAGATAAAGCTCTAAAAGTTTTGTGAGATAAAAAGTATATGGAATATGACAGTGCTGTTGCGCTCTTTAGGTGTGCCTATCCTGTGGCATCTTGATTATATGTCCAATAACATTATGACGTGAAACAATAACCTATTCCCTTGTCTGAAGTTGAAATCCCTCGTGGTTAATGCGAAGGCGAGATAGACGCTGTTGTTGGGATAACTAAGGCAGAAAGTCGACGTAATATCCTCTCTGGAAGTTTTGTGTGAATGCATATGAAAATCTCTACACGTACACATCATGTGATAAAACTTGTTGCCTTAATTTTAAATGTGACGTTATTAATCTTGATATCTTCACCTGTATATTCGGTTGATCAGTTGATTCTAGGTGAGACAGTTATTATTTCTTTCGATTACAGTTTTTATTTTTGCTACGTTCCTTTTGAATTTTGAAGATTTTAACGGCTACGTCTACGTTGTTTTACTATAAATTCTCGTTTCGGCGGCTGCTATGTTGGTTCGTTCCCCTTGGACTGGCTGAAACCATGCATTCTATGATTGTAAACAGAAGCGCAATCACGAAACTGGAAACAGTCATTGAAATTATTTGTACTTTTGTTATTGCATTACTGTTGTGACTTCAAGTCCGGCTAGTTATCACGTAATTTATTTGTCAATCGAAATACGACGGGTTTGATTATCCTAGCGTCCTTATTGATCCTTTGTTCGCCTATCCCGTCTGAGTCGGGAACACCAATACCAACTTACACTATGCGAATCGTTTGTTTCAGACATACTTGATGTAACGGAAAGAGAACAGTGAAAATCCCTCTGCAGCTTCTTTGTTGAACAGTATTTTCATTTATTTGTTCCTTCTCCCTTTTGTGTATTCCAACCTTTGTTTCGATCTCGTTTAACCATGTCTTTTGTTCTTCAGTCTTCCCCGTTTGAGCCTTTACTACGTGATTTTGATTAAAGACTTATTTTTGTTACCTAATTTTCTATTGCATGCTGCCGGACCATTGACAGTAAGGTTGTGTTTGACTAAGCTCAAGGTCACGGCGTGGTTTAGTTTGTGACTGTTAAGCTTCTGACTGTCTGCTTGGGAGAATTGCTGCAATCCCTGCAGATAGATATTTGATCCCATCTGATTGGGAATATTTGTATTGATTTTCAGGTATCAAACCCTTTAGTATTAACTGTCTCTTTCATTGTTTAGCGCGCTACTTTGCGTTAGAGAAACTTCTGACTGTATAGCACAGGCTGTACCGTTTGAGGTATTTTGTATTTTTGATGTAATTCGTTCTGTTTTCTTAGTTAGAACCGTTTATATTGAGCACAGAGTTTGTGTTTTGATATAATATAATACGAGTATCTCAAAGACGCGTTGTGGGCTATACAGAGGAACTTGGTCTGGTCTAATCGAATAAATTTTGGGTTCGTCAGTCCGTAGTTCCAACCGAATATTGGCTGTTCGGTCGTTACACTTGATTTATATACCAGCCAAAAAGACCACATCAAATCATAAAATAGGAAATAACATTCATACAACATAAAGCCAAAAGTGGCTGTGAAGGTGTGGAGCGATAATCAAATAACTGATTATAATTTAAGAACAGTAAACTGTACAGCAATAATCTATAGGTCAAAATGAAGCTTATAATAAGGAAAATATAGATTTATGTAATCTAGTTACTAACTAGTTATACAATAGGAATATATATATACATATATGTATATATATTGTCAGTCCATTATTAATTCTTGGAAGTTACTCGTAATTTAGTCTTCGCTAGGATATTACAATTTTTATGAAGTTAAATACTATATTTTGAACAGTCTGTACGTGACCAGTCTCGGACTGAGAAAATATGAATAATCTTTTAATAGAAATGTTTGTTGATACTGGTAATTACCTCATGTCCTCAAACTTCTTATCCATCAAGTGCGATTTAGATTTAATTATTTGAGTTTGCTGAACAACTTTTAGTTGTATAACCTGATGATCATATTTGTTTAGGTAATAATGTACAGTAGGATTTATATCTTTATAAAGGACCGTTCTTCGCTCAACCAGTTTGTTTGAAATTTTGACTCAGCACTGTTGTCTGAAATTGCCTTCCCTGTTGTTAATAGTTCATAACCAAAGCCGCCTGAAGTCATCAATCAGAATATTTCTTAGGGAATCATAGTTTTCAAGTTCCTGACATTTTATGCAATTTTTGGTATTATTTTTCCAACAAAATGTGATTTTTGATACAAATATCTGAACGTTTGTGATTTTTGCGTCAAAACCCAAACATTTATCGGTTTTTAAAAATGTTGTTGGTTAATCTAGCCTGTACAGCCATTCGGCTACATCATGGACTTTACACATTGCTCCATCTTGAAATGATTTTATTCGTGACTTTTGATACAAAGTAATTTAGTTTGAATGCTTCCTACTCTGTGAATTGAAAATACA